AATTAATACTTAAGAGAAATAGAGAAATACAGTCGCCAAGTTAATGTCCATTCAAATAATGGACACGACTCCCTCCCCCTCTCACACTACACTGCCAGCTCTTCCCTCTCTGAGAAATTTTGGGGGGAAAACCAGGTATAGTAATAAATAATACCTCAAACTAAAGTTAGGATAATATAATTGACATTGCTGGATTCCTTGTAAGACCAGGAATATTTTGAATATAAATGTCATATATTTTTCACAAAAGATAACATACTTACTCAGATTAAACATTTTATCTAAAAATTTTATGTCTAATGCAAAATATATGATGTTTATATTCAAAATGATCACCAAATTGTAAGAATTCCAGCAATGTAAATTATATTCTGGCCGGGTAATTTGTATGAATTTTATGAGCTAAAATAAAAATCTTCAGTTAATAGAAAAAAAAATATTCTTCACACGGTAACAGATGGTCGGTCGACGGTCCCCCCCTCCCTCCCCCCCACCCCCCACCAACGTCCCTACTAGATAAATGTGTGGGAATACCAGACTGTTTACCTTTTTAGTAATAAATAATAAATCAGAATAAAGTTAGGATAATATAATTGACATTGCTGGATTCCTTGTAAGACCAGGAATATTTTGAATATAAATATCATATATTTTGCAAAAAGATAACACATACAGTGGGGCATGCTATAACGAATCTAGATCTTACTACGTAATATTCCTATAAATCTAACGGTTTTACTCTATAAAATTGAGAATGCTATAACGAATTAAATTTGGCCAACGTAACATTATTTAATTTTTTTTTTAATTTATTGTTTTTTATTACAAATATTAATATATTCTTTATTTCAGGGCTTGATGCATATTTATGCACTTTTTACAATTTTTGCAATTTTATATTATATTTTTGCGTTATGGTTGTATTTGGGGCCTGAATGATTTTTCCAATCCCTATAATCTAACAAGGTTCGCAACCAATTAGATTCGTTATAGCATACTCCTACCTGTATTTACTCAAGAGTAAACATTATATCTAAAAATTTGTATGTCTAATGCAAAATCTATGATGTTTATTTTCAAAATGATCATCAAATTGTAAGAATTCCAGGAATGTAAATTATATTCTGGCCGGATAATTTGTATGAATTTTATGAGCTAAATTAAAAAAAATTATACTTCACCGTGTAAAGGGGTACACCCACCGCGGAATGTGAGCATCCTGGGTTCTGGCAGGGCACCGCGTAAACGTGGAAACGCGGAATGTGGGACCGCGTAAAGTGAGGGTTGACTGTACCTGTTTTTCACAACAATTTTCATCACTTGCACAGATAGCGAAGTAATTTATTGTATCCACACAGGGGAATTTATTGCACAGTTTACACAAATGATGGCTAAAGGTTTGAACAAGAAAAATATAGTAAAATAGACAAATAAACATTTTAGAAATACAGGTACTTATTTATTTAAACACTTATATAAACACTTCACAACACTTTGCATCACTTTTCCAGACTGTTGAGACATGTTTATGGTATGGACAGAGGAGCAGTACTGTGCAGTTTACAACTGATGGTTGCAAGTTTGAATACATGAAATATAAAAATAAACACTTTACAGGTGACTATTACTGCACAATGGAGGGCACGCGTGTGTGAGATAGATAGTGAGATACAGTTTTTTACATGCCTAGCACAGAGTATGTTCTAGTTTGTCTATTGAGAAAAACTAATGCCTTCATGGCACCGCTCTATGGTCAGTTGTCACATAGCTAATTGTAGATGAATTACCATGGGAGAAGAGACCTACAGGTATGATGCACCAAAATCTCAAGCATCAATTAGAATTACTGAATTTTGGGTGAATTTTTCTCTTAACTGAAGCAAATACGAGTCAGTGACAATTGGACGAGACTAACTCATATTTGCGTCATGGTGAGCGAGTGTGTTTAAAGGAGCTCACACTGCCACAACAGTCTCTGGCAGGTTATTCCAATAGTCGACAATTCTTAATATGACAGCATTTTCTGGCAAGATAGTAAATCAGTTCATAACTCTTACTCCCAAAAAGTTATCTTTGTCAATTTTCTGTACTGTACAGTATTTGTGGCTTCTTTAACTTGAGGCTGTGACCTCTAGCATAAGAAAACCATTAAATGTTTTTAACGTTTCATTTCTTAAAATAAGTACCAAGTATTTTTAATATGTTTCATCAAATATGTTTTGTAAGGTTTAATATCAAACAAAGATAATTAATCAGCTGATGAAAACCTAAAGTTTCCTTTTCCCTCAACAAATGGCACTGGAAACAGCATCTATGCAGAGCACACATGATTCATGACACCCCAAGTTCAATTGCTCCATCACTCGCCTCGAGTCTGAACAACTGCAGTCCAAGAAGCAGCTGTTCAGACTCAAAGTGAGCTATAATTTGAAGCACGCACGACCAGAGTGGACAAAGCGCCAGAAAAAATATGGAGACCTCTGAAACTTTCCTCTCTGCAATCTGATGCCCGCCTCCCTCACCAGCCCCGCAGATAGTGATGCGTGGGTAGTTTTCTTAACAGCAAAATCGACCAAATTGACACTTTCAGAGGTAGTTTCCCCTACTCCTTTTGTGGGATAAATCTTGATTTTGAACATAATGGCTTTTTGTCCACTCTGGTCATAGTCAACTCATTTTTTATAGTGTTGTGAAATAATAGAATTAGTGTTAAAGTGAGGAAGAGTGGTGGCCGAAAAAGAAAATTTTTGTGTACAAAGGTATTTTTTGGAGCAGCAGTTCTGTATCCTATACACTATATACTGTATTATTGAAATACAGAAAATTCTCGACCCCACATAAATTATATCATGGATCTACTGTATCTATTAGAGGAAGCAGCTTATACAAGCAGAATCTAATGATTGAGTGTCTGTCTAGCTCACAGTGCATTGTGGGTGTAACAGCAGCCTGCAGGATGTTTAAATGGAGGTAGAAATCATGAAAACATATACCTACTGTACTTATGTCAACAGTTCACAATATATTGTAATATGAAGATTAAATAAAGTTTTATCCTCTCTAAATACTCATCAAGTGTCCTGTGAGCAGAAGCCAAAATATACAAATCCCATTCACTCAACCATGCACAGTCAGTCACGCCAGTAAACACCCAGGAAGCCAAAATGTTCCTCAGTGTTTTATGGAAAACAAAATGCAACAATACAGTATTACCCCGCCTAACGCGGTTTCACTTAACGCGTTTTATCATATACGCGGTGCCTCGCCAGAGCTGAACTTTCACTTAACACGGATTTTTTCCACATATACGCGGTGAGTGTCCGGCTCCAGACGCTATTTTTAGATTTGCCCCACCCTGCCTGACTGCCTGTTTTAGCTCATAAAATTCATACAAATTACCCGGCCAGAATATAATTTACATTGCTGGAATTCTTATAATTTGGTGATCATTTTGAATATAAACATCATATTTTTGCATTAGACATACAAATTTTAGATAAAAATTTTTCTCAAATTAACTATGTTATCTTTTGTGCAAAATATATGACATTTATATTCAAAATATTCCTGGTCTTACAAGGAATCCAGCAATGTCAATTATATTATCCTAACTTTAGTTTGAGGTATTATTTATTAAAATTTAGTGGTTATCCCACACATCTCCTTGGGACGGTTGGTGGGGGGTGGGGGGGAGGGAGGGACCGACCGACCATCTGTTACCCAGTGAAGAATTATTTTTTTTTTTATTAACTGAAGATATTTGTTTTAGCTCATAAAATTCATACAAATTATCCGGTCTGAATATAATTTACATTGCTGGAATTCTTATAATTTGATGATCATTTTGAATATAAACATCATATTTTTGCATTAGACATACAAATTTTAGATAAAAAATTTTCTCAAATTAACTATGTTATCTTTTGTGCAAAATATATGACATTTATATTCAAAATATTCCTGGTCTTACAAGGAATCCAGCAATGTCAATTATATTATCCTAACTTTAATCTGAGGTATTATTTAATACTAAATGTTAAAAACCCTGGAAGGGAGGATTGGTGGGGGGTGGGGGGGAGGGTTGGGACTGACCGCGCGGTTGGAAGAGGGGGGGAGGCAAGGTGGGGTACTTTGATTGACAGATAGTGTTGTGAAGATTATTTTTTTTTTTATTAACTGAAGATATTTGTTTTAGCTCATAAAATTCATACAAATTACCCGGTCAGAATATAATTTACATTGCTGGAATTCTTATAATTTGGTGATCATTTTGAATATAAACATCATATATTTTGCATTAAACATACAAATTTTAGATAAAAATTTTTCTCTAGGTAACTATGTTATCTTTTGTGCAAAATATATGACATTTATATTCAAAATATTCCTGGTCTTACAAGGAATCCAGCAATGTCAATTGTATTATCCTAACTTTAGTTTGAGGTATTATTTATTAAAATTTAGTGGTTTTCCCCCAAAAATTTCTCTGAGAGGGAAGAGCCGGCAGTGTAGTGTGAGAGGGGGAGGGAGTTGAGTCCATTATTTGAATGGACATTAACTTGGCGACTGTATTTCTCTATTTCTCTTAAGTATTAATTGTGTGCATGTACCATCATAAAATTAAGATGTTATTTTTACTACAACATAGGTATGTGCCTTCAAAAAGTGGAGTTTGGGGGTCGGGCCGGTTTCTATTGGAATTAATCCCATATGTTCTGTTGTTCACTTAACGCGGATTTCACTTAACGCGGGACCCTCTGGGTTCAATTGACCGCGTTAAGTGGGGTACAACTGTATTATTCTATCTTCTTATTCTTTATTCATACATGCTAATTAACTTGGAGTTGAATAGTTGAAAAATAAACAGGTAGAATGAAGAAGTGGAGGGTGAAATCAGCTGGCAGGAATGTGCAGCTATGAGCCTCTTGGAGGCACAGGTACCTTGGCGACTCCTGCCAAGATGACCTTAATAAGCACTTTTTATGTTTTCTTTTGCACTACTGCATTCATCACCATCACTTTTCATTTGTTTTGAGACATTTCAATGGCAGCATACCTGGTTAGAAACTGCAATGCTTTCTGAGTGACAAAAGAGTGCTGTGGACAGCACGTGACACTGTACTGGCCAGTGCCTTGAAAATAAACTCCACCAAGATGCCTAGGGTCACTGGCTAGCCAGGCTGGGTTAGTCTGCCATTGACTTTGGCACTTGTTTTGGGTTTACACCCACATTTCAGTCATACACCTAGGTAGGAATTTAGGTCCCACTTCTTTAATGATACTGTACTGCACTGGGCCATTCACCAGGATGTAACCCACAACAGCCCGGTTCTTTCTCACTGCTAGGTGAACAGAGGCAGCAGGTGTAAGGAGACTTGCCTGGTTTTTCCCCTTACCTCAGAGTACAGTATAGAATAGAAAATGTGTCTACAAATGCACTAGCTCAGCTGGCTGCTTAACTAAAGACAAAACATGATTAACCTCCCTCCATGAATAATAATGTGAGCTGATTCACTGATAACTTTGCTCATTAAAGCAAAAAGAAATTTGTTAATTGAATTAAAATACCCTAAAACACTAAGCTAATTAACAACTTGGCTGAATAAAATCATCTGGCATCAGCCAAATAAAATATTAAAAGTGACATCCAGTAGAGAAGGGGGTTAAACCGAATTCTTGTTCATCAGTTACTCATTTAGTGGGACTGATTCTACCATACTAAAGGACAAATGTTAAACCTGGTATCATCATAATGGGCCAATGGGTGTGATGAGGAGGTGGGGATGATCCATGCATTCATGTGGGTTAATACAGCACCCTGGGCTAAATAACTGGGACTTCCCTAAGGAAAATTAACTTCCCTATTAGCAGCTTTTATTACCATAGGCTGCCAGCCAAAAGTTACAGGCCAGAAAACCTCTGCTCTTTTAAAGATGTTTACAGGAATAACTCTCACCTTAAGATTTTGTGCACAATATTCTGAACACTCCTTCCCTCCATGACCATCGAAAACTGCACAACACAAAATATTGTTGGGAAGTTCCACTATAACATATCTGTAAAAAGAAAATACTTGTACACTAAAATACAGAAGCCAACATACATATCTAGGACTGGAGTATATAATCCCACTTTATGGCCTGGAGAATGAAAGGAGACTCCCGTGAAATCATCATCATCAATGTTTTAAGGCCATTTTCCACAGTTGTTTGTGTCAGCAGTGATTACCTAATAGCAGCAATTTGCAGCTGCTTTTGTCAGGTTCTAATCTCTCAGGTCTTTTACCACAACCTGCCCCCATGTCACTCTTAGCCTCCCCTCCACATTCATTTTTGCATCTTTTGACCCAGTTGGTCTCCTCCATGATCTCCACATGCCAGAACTATCTCGACCTACTTTTGCGCAAAACCTCATCAATACTCTCAATACTCAAGACCCCTTATTTTGTCCCTGCCAAAGGGATCAACCAAGTACAGACATAACTTGATTATTGCTGCTTTGTTATAAAGCTCTCTCTCCTGTAAGATTATTTTGTCCAGATAAGAAGTCCCATGTGAGAACTAGCAACAAACACCAGTGTCTTTTTTTTTCTCTAAGGTGCACACTCAGACAATGAAAACAGCACATATTAATCAGCATCTGCCTCCACAGTTTTGAACAATCTCCTGCAGGTGATAGTGTTGACAATGTGAACAGGTAGTTAAGGAAAAGCATTGGGTGGTAAGCACTGAGTTAATATCGGTCAGAACTTGGATTTGGCTGCATCTGTAATTAGGATAATTCTGAAGAAAAAGAACAAGGTGAAGGCTTTTGGGAATTCCATTATATCATTTGTTTCAATGAAGATTCTAGAGCTGGTTAGTCATGAGGATGGAAGGCTAGGAGCATTTTCACCCTCCTGCAGGAAGGTGAAGGACCAACATTAGAGAACTGCCAGGCCAGTAGAAGTTACTTTGAGAATTTTAAGCACAACAGTAACTTTCAGTTTATGTATATTGTATCTGGTGAGGCAGCTGATGCTGATGAGCAGATAACACACAAGTTTCCTGACACCTTGAAAGTTATCACTAACCATGGCAAATACCTTTCCCAGCTTGTAAATCGGCCTCTTTTGGAAGCATAAGCTATCAAGCACATTAATCTTCCAGAGTGAAGGGCATGTATCAGGGTTTAAAACTGCCAAAGATCATATGAAGCTCCAATTACATGGTAATGCTTTGGGTGATTTCAAGCTCAAGCCCATGGTCACTTACCACCTTTAAAGACCTAAGGAACATCTACCTAGCCTCAGAGAAGTTGAAGGCCTAGGATAGAGCTGTGTGCTGACCTCGCTAGAGTAAAAGTCACAGTCGATTTAGCTCCGGGGAATTAACTGACAGTGCAATGGCTAGTGTTAGTTGTGAGCAGCTCTGTGCCTTTTTGAAGGCTGAGTTAGCGAAAGTCAAAGGAGGGTAGTGAGGAGAACAACAACCAAACTGGTGGTGAAAAAAGACTACACGGAAATGACAACAGCTATGTGTACTAACTTTTTTAATTTTGGTAGACGAATTAGACGGTAACATAGTCAAGGACGAGGCTGACAAGGAAGGTACGAAAACCTAAATTGTTGGGGATTCCCAGATTAGGTACTTACAGGTAGATAGAGCTTTTTGTGTCAAAAACAGAAATAGGATGAGTGTGTTTGCCAGGAGCTGGGGCGGGGGATATAGTTGAGAGGATGGACAATATCATGTATGGTAATGGGAACAAACTCATTATCTGCCCCAGTGCAGGAGGCAATGATATTGGCCAGTGTAGGAGTGAGGAGTTCCTTGATAAGTTCAAGGCAGCTATTAACCAGATTAGGATGAAGGGAGGGATCCCTATCATATGTTGTGTCCTGCTTAAAAGGAGAGTTGGCAAAGAATGGTTGTCAAGGGCAGTTGGTGTCAATGGCCGTCTTGACAGATATTGCAAGTCAATATCAGTCCCATTCATTGACAACTCGGACAACTTCTATGGAAAAAAGGAACTTCATGCTAGGGTTCGGGAATATTTATCTAGAGATGGGGTGGCAACCCTGGCTGGCTCTCTCAAGAGGGCAATTCAAAAGATGGGGGTCAAGGAGACTGCAGAGGGTGCGGGAAAACAAAGCGAGAGGTTACAGAGAAATAGTGTTAGGAATGATGACAAAGCTAAATTAGGTAAGCTAAAACCTAAATGCAACAGTGAGAGCACTCAACTCATGACTAACTTAAATGTCTACTATGCAAACAGTAGAAGTGTGAAAAATAAACTTGGCGTTGGTATGTACCGAAAAAATCGATATATGTAATAGCATTCAGCGAAACATGGATAAACTCAGATTCACGCGAGTTACTTGTCGAATACCAAATCAAGGGTTACAAATTATTTCATACACATAGGCAGATTAGGAAAGAAGGTTGGGTACCAATCAATGTCAAGGATAATTTGAAGTGTAAAATCAATAAGGAAATAAAAACTGAACTGAACACAGAAACAATTAGGGTAGAATTAACCAATGGTAGGGAAAAATTAATCATCGGAGTAATAATGTACAAACCTCCTTATCTCAATAGGGTTAATGAACAACTTGTTTGAGTTGTAATACACAGCGCATCCAAACATAGCAGAATCAGTATAGTAGGCGCCTTTAACTTTAGTCAAATAGATTGGACTGATTGGGTAATGCAGGATCAGAGGATTTTCTTGTAACAGTTCAGGACTGTTTCCTAAGAAAACTTATAACCAAACCCACCCGGGGTAATAATATACTAGATTTAGTTCTGTCAAACAGAGAAAACCTCATTAGTAATGTTGAGGTAGGGAACGAACTTGCTAACAGCGACCACAAAGAAGTGAGATTCTAAGTAGAACTTAATATCAGTTACAAGAAAAATTCTATTAAAGTCCCAGATTTCAGACGGGCAAACTTTGATAGGTTGAAAAGGCAGCTCAAAGGAGTAGTATTACGCTTGGGGGTGAATTACATGAACCTCGCGTGAGGTAATAAATAACGTGATCTCACACAATATATCCACAGAGGGTGACCTCACGTTGCCTGGTGACCTGACAACGATAACCTTACAAAAATTGACCGCTGAGGATGACCTGACCACGAGATTTGAGGTACATGAGTTCCATAACAATTTAAATAACGAGTTACTTAATGCACAAAGGCAGAATATACCATATAGAAAACTCAAATTAAATAACAATGACCCCAAATGGATGAATAATTATTGGACAAAGGAAGGCTATAGGCAGGAGAATAAATCGTGGTGAAGTTTACCTCCATGATTATTATAAAGTATTGGCCAATACGGTTAAAACAGAGATAAGAAAAAAAGAGGAATAATGAAATGAAGGTAGCAAGGAAGGCAAAGTCAATCCCAAAAGGATTTTTCCAAACTAAAACTCGAGACAAGATTGGACCATTACAGTCAGATACCGGTGAACTAACTGACAATGACGGAGAAATGAGCAATAATCTGAATTGATATTTTTCATCAGTTTTCACAACCAAAAATTTAAGCAGGATACCCTAGGCACCAACTATGTACAGAGAGAGCAAAAAAAAAATTAAGCAAGATAGTAATGACCAGTAACGATGTTAGTAAACAAATATATAAACTAAAACCTACAAGTCACCAAGTCCTGACGAGATATTTGCCAGAGTATTAAAGGAATGTAAGGAAGAACTTAGTATGCCCTTAGCAAACTTGTTTAACATGTCATTAAAAACAGGTATAGTACCAGAATCCTGGAGGATAGTGAATGTGATACTGATTTTTAAGAAGGGAGATATATCACGGTATTCTCAAACTACTATCCAATTGGTTTAACATCAATTGTAGGCAAATTACGGGAAGCAATGCTGTACTTTCAAACTCAATTCGAAATCACCTGGAGAAGAAGCACAAATTGATCAATGATTCCCAGCATGGTTTCACAAGTAGGCATTCATGTCTGACAAATCTATTATCATTCTTTCCAAATGTTTTTTAATCAGAGGATGAGAGACACGATTATGATGTGTTTTACCTCAACCTTATTAAAGGCTTCGACAGCGTCCTACACAAAGACTAATGCGTTAAGTGGAGGCTCATGGAATTGGAGATGTTCTACACTGGATTAGGGCGTGGATACAGGACAAGAAACAGAGTCAGCATTAATGGCACTTAATCCGATTGTGTTAACATTACTAGTGGAGTGCCCCAAGGCACACTTACTTGGACCATTACTATTTATTATATACATAAACGACATAGATATAGGCATAGACAGCAATACGTACAGTAAACCCTCGATAACTCGGAATTTCATATAACTCAACACAAATACGGTCTCGGAATGTATTATAGTACATATACAGTATTGTATAACTTGGGAAATGCCGAGATATATAAAATTATCTGGGAACATCTCGGCATATCTGGCCACCTGCGTCACCGATCATGCCTCTGTGTCATCTACCATGTCTGTGTCACCTACCATGCCTGTGTCACCTACCATGCCTGTGTCACACTACATCCTTGACTGCCGAAGGGTCAAGATGTACCTGGCGCTCCTCTGGGAGCAGCCAGGTCAACTGTTATGTTGGCCCATACCAACTCCCTCCCCTGAACCCCTCCTTCCCACCGGAATATCAACAAATTCTTGCCAGAAGTTACTACAGTATTTCATTTAGGAAAGGAATGGAACCGGTGTTGAATAGTGGTGAACAGTGCTTAAGTCAGTGAAAAACAACTCAACAGTAACAGCTGAGTCATACCCAAGCTAACCTTCACACTGCGAAGTCCCAGGTACCCAGTGATAACTGCCCCTGAGACTCAACAACACCACCTATGTGTTAATCCATCCACGATAAGGAGGCCTGGGACCACACCTCACTCACTTGAGTGAGTGAGGTCCTGTGACACCAGACCATGTGGTGTCCCCATTATGCTACCCAGGGCCGGATTCAGGAGTGGGCAAAGTGGGTAGCTACCCAGGGGCCTCCACAATCTGGGAGCCTCCACATATTACATCTGACCTTGGACTTGAAGACGCCTAT